AGCCGTCAAGAGGTCAGACAGCAGTCCTACCATAGACAAAACCATCAGACGTAGCAACACCACAGGTCTACAGCATTTGGCTTTCCCTACTCTCCTCTCGACTATACGATGCTCCCAGACGCCACTCACACAACTTGCCGCAGCCATCAGACCCGGCCGTACCATAGGCGCACGGCGGTTGTGCGCACTACCGATGGGGCTGCAAAAAGCACCACATCGCCTCTCACTTAACCACAACCATCACCGCGGTTAGAGAGCACTTATGAATGCCACCACTTTGTAGTCTATACGATGCTCCCAGACCCCACTCACACCATGCCCGGCCACAGCCATCAGACACAGCCGTACCATAGGAGGAACGGCGGTTGTGTGTACTACCGATGGGACTGCAAGACGCACCACATTGCCTCTCACTTAACCACAACCATAACCGCGGATAGAGAGCACTTATGAATGCCACCACTTTGTAGTCTATACGATACTCCCAGACCCACTCACACCACGCCCCTGGTCACAGCCATCAGAGGTCAGAGCCGGCCATACCGTAGGCGAACGGCAGTCGTGGGTGCTACCGATGGGTCCACACAACGCACCGCATCTCTCGCTCGGCAGCAACCGTCAGAGTCAGCCACACCGCATGTCCAGAGCAGCTGTACGGCCTCCCCCGTAGACTATACGATGCTCCAGATCCACTCACACCAGGCCCCCGGCCACAGCCGTCAGAGATCAGACACCGGGCCCCAACAAGCATCATATGAATCAACACCACACATCTACAACCGCTGTTAGCTACGTCCGTTGCAAAATAAATTCGACATACACAGAGATCCACAGAGACACCCACAGAGACCCACATAGACGCATAGAGACAACCATAGAGATCCACAGAGACCCACAGCGACACCCATAGAGACACACAGAGACCCACAGACATCCACAGAGACCCACAGAGACCCACAGACACCCACAGAGACCCACAGAGACACCCACAGAGACCCACAGAGACCCACAGAGACACACAGAGACACACAGAGACACCCAAAGAGACCCACAGAGACCCACAGAGACACACAGAGACACCCACAGAGACACCCATAGAGACACCCATAGAGAGACCCACAGAGACCCACAGAGACCCACAGAGACACCCACAGAGACCCACAGAGACCCCCAGAGACACCCACAGAGACACCCACAGAGACCCCCATAGAGAGACACAGAGACACACACAGAGACACCCACAGAGACACCCACAGAGACCCACAGAGACACACAGAGACCGCCATAGAGACCCCCAGAGACACCCACAGACACCCACAGAGACACCCATAGAGACACACAGACACCCACAGAGACCCATAGAGACCCATATAGACCCATAGAGATACCCACAGAGACACACAGAGACCCCCACAGAGACACACAGAGACCCCCAGAGACACCCACAGAGACCCACAGAGACCCAAAGAGACACCCACAGAGAGCCACAGAGACACCCACAGAGACCCACAGAGACACACAGAGACCCAAAGAGACACCCACAGAGACCCTCAGAGACACCCACAGAGACCCTCAGAGACACACAGAGACCCACAGAGACACCCATAGAGACCCACATAGAGCCACAGAGACACCCACAGAGACACCCACAGAGACACCCACAGACACCCACAGAGACACACAGAGACACCCACAGAGACACCCACAGAGACCCACACAGAGACACCCACAGACACCCACAGAGACCCCCACAGAGACACACAGAGACACCCACAGAGACACCCACAGACACCCATAGAGACACACACAGAGACACACAGAGAGACCCACAGAGACACCCACACAGACCCACAGAGAAACCCATAGAGACCCACACAGAGACATCCACAGAGACACCCACAGAGACCCACAGAGACACCCACAGAGACCCACAGAGACACCCACAGAGACCCACAGAGACACCCATAGAGACCCACACAGAGACATCCACAGAGACACCCACAGAGACCCACAGAGACACCCACAGAGACCCACAGAGACACCCACAGAGACCCACAGAGACACCCATAGAGACCCACACAGAGACATCCAGAGAGACACCCACAGAGACCCACAGAGACACCCACAGAGACCCACAGAGACACCCACAGAGACCCACAGAGACACCCATAGAGACCCACACAGAGACATCCACAGAGACACCCACAGAGACCCACAGAGACACCCACAGAGACCCACAGAGACACCCACAGAGACCCACAGAGACACCCATAGAGACCCACACAGAGACACACAGAGACCCCCAGAGACCCACAGAGACACCCACAGAGACCCACAGAGACACCCACAGAGACCCACAGAGACACCCACAGAGACCCACAGAGACACCCATAGAGACCCACACAGAGACACCCACAGAGACCCACACAGAGACCCACAGAGACACCCATAGAGACCCACAGAGACCCACAGACACCCATAGAAACACCCACAGAGACACCCACAGAGACACACAGAGACACACACAGAGACACCCACAGAGACCCACAGAGACACCCATAGAGACCCACACAGAGACACACAGAGACCCCCAGAGACCCACAGAGACACCCACAGAGACCCACAGAGACACCCACAGAGACCCACAGAGACACCCATAGAGACCCACACAGAGACATCCACAGAGACACCCACAGAGACCCACAGAGACACCCACAGAGACCCACAGAGACACCCACAGAGACCCACACAGAGACATCCACAGAGACACCCACAGAGACACCCACAGAGACCCACACAGAGACATCCACAGAGACACCCACAGAGACACACACAGAGACCCACACAGAGACACCCACAGAGACCCACACAGAGACACACACAGAGACATCCACAGAGACACCCACAGAGACCCACAGAGACACACAGAGACCCCCAGAGACACCCACAGAGACACCCACAGAGACACACAGAGACACCCACAGAGACACCCATAGAGACCCACACAGAGACATCCACAGAGACACCCACAGAGACCCACAGAGACACCCACAGAGACCCACAGAGACACACAGAGACCCACACAGAGACACCCACAGAGACACCCACAGAGACCCCCCATCACCACCCCCCCCCACCACCACCCCCCCCACCACCACCCCCCCACCACCACCCCCCCACCAACCCCCCCACCACCACCCCCCCACCAACTCCCCCACCACCACCCCCCCACCAACCCGCCCACTCACGCTCTCCCAGGCCACGGAGGCCTCTGCCACAGGGCTCATGAACTCCGTGATGGTGATGGTGGTGCCCACAAAGTGGTAGTGCTCCTTGGGGAAATCGAAGTACTCCATGCCTGGGGGGGTTGGGGGCATGGGGGAGGAGCAATGGGGGGGGAGGGGCATGAGGGGGAGGGGCATGTGGGTCAAAGGGGGAGGAGCCATGGGGGGAGCGTCGTGAAGGGGAGGGGCATTGGGGTCATATGGGGAGGAGCAATGGGGGGAGGGTCGTGAAGGGGAGGGGCATAGGGGTCACAGGGGGAGGAGCCATGGGGGGAGGGTCATGAGGGGGAGGGTCATGAGGGGGAGGGGCATGGGGGTCACATGGGGAGGAGCCATTGGGGGAGGGTCGTTAAGGGGAGGGGCATTGGGGTCACAGGGGGAGGAGCAATGGGGGGAGGGTCATGAGGGGGAGGGGCATTGGGGTCACAGGGGGAGGAGCCATGGGGGGAGGGTCATGAGGGGGAGGGGCATTGGGATCACAGGGGGAGGAGCCATGGGGGGAGGGTCATGAGGGGGAGGGGCAGGGGGGTCACAGGGGGAGAAGCCATGGGGGGAGGGTCTTGAGCAGGAGGGGCATGGGGGTCACAGGGGGAGGAGCCATTGGGGAGGGTCGTGAGGGGGAGGGGCATGGGGTCACAGGGGGAGGAGCAATGGAGGGAGGGTCATGAGGGGGAGGGGCATGGGGGTCACAGGGGGTGGAGCAATGGGGGGAGGGTCATGAGGGGGAGGGGCATGGGGGGTCACAGGGGGAGGAGCCATGGGGGGAGGGTCATGAGGGGGAGGGGCATGGGGGTCACAGGGGGTGGAGCAATGGGGGGAGGGTCATGAGGGGGAGGGGCATGGGGGGTCACAGGGGGAGGAGCCATGGGGGGAGGGTCATGAGGGGGAGGGGCATGGGGGTCACATGGGGAGGAGCCATTGGGGAGGGTCGTTAAGGGGAGGGGAATTGGGGTCACAGGGGGAGGAGCAATGGGGGGTCATGAGGGGGAGGGGCATTGGGGTCACAGGGGGAGGAGCCATTGGAGGAGGGTCGTGAAGGGGAGGGGCATTGGGGTCACAGGGGGAGGAGCCATGGGGGGAGGGTCATGAGGGGGAGGGGCATTGGGGTCACAGGGTAGGTGTGACACACCAGGTAGGTGTGAGTCACGTGGTAGGTGTGAGTCACGTGGTAGGTGTGACACACGTGGTAGGTGTGACACACGTGGTAGGTGTGAGTCACGTGGTAGGTGTGACACACCAGGTAGGTGTGAGTCACGTGGTAGGTGTGAGTCACGTGGTAGGTGTGACACACGAGGTAGGTGTGAGTCACGTGGTAGGTGTGAGTCACGTGGTAGGTGTGACACACGTGGTAGGTGTGAGTCACGTGGTAGGTGTGACACACGAGGTAGGTGTGAGTCACGAGGTAGGTGTGAGTCACGTGGTAGGTGTGAGTCACGTGGTAGGTGTGAGTCACTTGGTAGGTGTGACACACCAGGTAGGTGTGACACACGAGGTAGTTGTGAGTCACGTGGTAGGTGTGACACACGTGGTAGGTGTGACACACGAGGTAGGTGTGAGTCACGAGGTAGGTGTGACACACGAGGTAGTTGTGAGTCACGAGGTAGGTGTGAGTCACGTGGTAGGTGTGACACACGTGGTAGGTGTGAGTCACGTGGTAGTTGTGACACACCAGGTAGGTGTGACACACGAGGTAGTTGTGAGTCACGAGGTAGGTGTGAGTCACGAGGTAGGTGTGAGTCACGAGGTAGGTGTGACACACGTGGTAGGTGTGAGTCACGTGGTAGGTGTGAGTCACGTGGTAGGTGTGACACACGAGGTAGGTGTGAGTCACGTGGTAGGTGTGAGTCACGTGGTAGGTGTGAGTCACGAGGTAGGTGTGAGTCACGAGGTAGGGTTGAGTCACGTGGTAGGTGTGACACACGTGGTAGGTGTGAGTCACGAGGTAGGTGTGAGTCACGTGGTAGGTGTGACACACGTGGTAGGTGTGACACACCAGGTAGGTGTGAGTCACGTGGTAGGTGTGAGTCACGTGGTAGGTGTGACACACGTGGTAGGTGTGAGTCACGTGGTAGGTGTGAGTCACGAGGTAGGTGTGACACACGAGGTAGGTGTGAGTCACGTGGTAGGTGTGAGTCACGAGGTAGGTGTGACAAACGAGGTAGGTGTGAGTCACGTGGTAGGTGTGAGTCACGAGGTAGGTGTGAGTCACGTGGTAGGTGTGAGTCACGTGGTAGGTGTGACACACGTGGTAGGTGTGACACACGAGGTAGGTGTGAGTCACGTGGTAGGTGTGAGTCACGTGGTAGGTGTGAGTCACGTGGTAGGTTTGAGTCACGTGGTAGGTGTGACACACGTGGTAGGTGTGACACACGAGGTAGGTGTGAGTCACGTGGTAGGTGTGAGTCACGTGGTAGGTGTGAGTCACGTGGTAGGTGTGAGTCACGTGGTAGGTGTGAGTCACGTGGTAGGTGTGACACACCAGGTAGGTGTGAGTCACGTGGTAGGTGTGACACACGAGGTAGGTGTGAGTCACGTGGTAGGTGTGAGTCACGTGGTAGGTGTGACACACGTGGTAGGTGTGAGTCACGTGGTAGGTGTGAGTCACGTGGTAGGTGTGAGTCACGTGGTAGGTGTGAGTCACGTGGTAGGTGTGACACACGTGGTAGGTGTGACACACGAGGTAGGTGTGAGTCACGAGGTAGGTGTGAGTCACGTGGTAGGTGTGAGTCACGTGGTAGGTGTGAGTCACGTGGTAGGTGTGACACACGAGGTAGGTGTGAGTCACGTGGTAGGTGTGAGTCACGTGGTAGGTGTGAGTCACGTGGTAGGTGTGACACACGTGGTAGGTGTGAGTCACGTGGTAGGTGTGACACACGAGGTAGGTGTGAGTCACGTGGTAGGTGTGAGTCACGTGGTAGGTGTGAGTCACGAGGTAGGTGTGACACACCAGGTAGGTGTGACACACGAGGTAGGTGTGAGTCACGTGGTAGGTGTGAGTCACGTGGTAGGTGTGAGTCACGAGGTAGGTGTGAGTCACGTGGTAGGTGTGAGTCACGTGGTAGGTGTGAGTCACGTGGTAGGTGTGACACACGAGGTAGGTGTGAGTCACGTGGTAGGTGTGAGTCACGTGGTAGGTGTGAGTCACGAGGTAGGTGTGAGTCACGTGGTAGGTGTGACACACCAGGTAGGTGTGAGTCACGTGGTAGGTGTGAGTCACGTGGTAGGTGTGAGTCACGTGGTAGTTGTGAGTCACGTGGTAGGTGTGACACACCAGGTAGGTGTGAGTCACGTGGTAGGTGTGAGTCACGTGGTAGGTGTGACACACGAGGTAGGTGTGACACACGTGGTAGGTGTGAGTCACGTGGTAGGTGTGACACACGTGGTAGGTGTGAGTCACGTGGTAGGTGTGACACACCAGGTAGGTGTGACACACCAGGTAGGTGTGACACACGTGGTAGGTGTGAGTCACGTGGTAGGTGTGACACACGTGGTAGGTGTGAGTCACGTGGTAGGTGTGAGTCACGTGGTAGGTGTGAGTCACGTGGTAGGTGTGAGTCACGTGGTAGGTGTGACACACGTGGTAGGTGTGACACACGTGGTAGGTGTGAGTCACGTGGTAGGTGTGAGTCACGTGGTAGGTGTGACACACGTGGTAGGTGTGAGTCACGTGGTAGGTGTGAGTCACGTGGTAGGTGTGACACACGTGGTAGGTGTGAGTCACGTGGTAGGTGTGACACACGTGGTAGGTGTGAGTCACGTGGTAGGTGTGACACACGTGGTAGGTGTGACACACGAGGTAGGTGTGAGTCACGTGGTAGGTGTGACACACGAGGTAGGTGTGAGTCACGTGGTAGGTGTGAGTCACGTGGTAGGTGTGAGTCACGAGGTAGGTGTGAGTCACGTGGTAGGTGTGACACACGAGGTAGGTGTGAGTCACGTGGTAGTTATGACACACCAGGTATGTGTGAGTCACGTGGTAGTTGTGACATACCAGGTAGGTGTGAAACACCAGGTATGTGTGAGTCACGTGGTAGTTGTGACATACCAGGTAGGCAGGATGCTCACCGGCTTTGGAGGCAGCTTGAGATTTGAGCGGAGAGGCTTGCAGCTTCTTCTTATAGAGAACACAGTCAAAGCTCCCCCGGGTAGCCCACACAGACTTTACACACTCACACACATACACTCATAGACTCATACACTCACACACTCATACACACACACACTCATACACTCATAGACTCATACACTCACACACACATACACTCATAGACTCACTCACTCATACACTCACTCATACACTCACTCATACACTCACTCATACACTCACTCACACACTCACAGACTCATACACTCACACACACACTCACACACTCATACACTCAAACACTCACTCATACACTCACTCACACACTCACACATACAATCACTCATACACTCACTCATTCACTCACTCATACACTCACTCACTCATACACTCACTCACTCATACACTCACACACTCATACACTCACACACTCACTCATACACTCACTCACTCATACACACACCCATACACTCATACACTCACACATACAATCACACACTCATACACTCATACACTCACTCACACACTCACACACTCATAGACTCATACACTCACACACTCATACACTCACACATACAATCACACACTCATACAATCACACACTCACTCACTCACACACTCACTCAAACACTCACTCACTCATACACTCACTCATACACTCATACACTCACTCATACACTCACACACTCAAACACTCACTCACTCATACACTCACTCACTCATACACTCACTCACTCATACACACACACTCAAACACTCACTCACTCATACACTCACTCACTCATACACTCACTCACTCATACACTCACACACTCACTCATACACTCACTCACTCATATATTCACTCACACACTCATACACTCACTCACTCATACACTCACTCACTCATACACTCACTCATACACTCACACACTCATACACTCACTCACTCATACGCTCACACACTCACTCATACACTCACTCACTCATACACTCATACACTCACTCACTCACACATACAATCACACACTCACTCATACACTCACACACTCATACACTCACTCATACACTCACACATTCACTCATACACTCACTCATACACTCACACACTCAAACACTCACTCACTCATACACTCACTCACTCATACACACACTCATACACTCACACACTCAAACACTCACTCACTCATACACTCACTCATACACTCACACACTCAAACACTCACTCACTCACACACTCACTCATACACTCACTCACTCATACACTCACTCATACACTCACACACTCAAACACTCACACACTCACACACTCACTCACTCATACACTCACTCACACACTCACTCACTCACACACTCACTCATACACTCACTCCACACACTCACACAGTCACTCACTCACTCATACACTCACTCAAACACTCACTCACTCATACACTCACTCACTCAGTCATACACTCACTCATACACTCACTCATACACTCACTCACACACTCACTCACTCATACACTCACTCATACACTCACACACTCACTCATACACTCATACACTCACTCACACACTCACTCATACACTCACTCATACACTCACACACTCACTCATGCACTCACTCACACACTCACTCACTCACACACTCACTTACTCATACACTCACTCATACACTCACTCATCTACTCACAAACTCACTCACTCACACACTCATACACTCATTAACACATACACTTACACACTCACTCACTCACAAACTCACTCACTCATACACTCACTCACACACTCACTCATACACTCACTCACACACTCACTCACTCACACACTCACTCATACACTCACTCACACACTCACTCACACTCACACACTCACTCACTCTCTCACTCACCCACTCCCTCACAAACCCACTCACTCACCCACTCACACACCCACTCACCCACCCCACTCACTCACACACTCACTCATACACTCACTCACCCACTCACTCACCCACTCACCCACTCACTCACTCACCCACCCCACTCACTCACCCACCCCGCTCACTCACCCACTCACTCACTGACCCACTCACTCACCCACTCACTCACCCACTCACGCACGCACCCACTCACTCACTGACCCACCCCACCCACTCACTCACCCATTCTCTCACTCACCCACTCTCTCACTCACCCACTCACTCACTCACCCACTCACTCACCCACTCACTCACTGATCCACTCACCCACTCACTCACCCACTCACTCACTCACTGATCCACTCACCCACTCACTCACCCTACCCACTCACCCACTCTCTCACTCACCCACTCACTCACTCACTGATCCACTCACCCACTCACTCACTGATCCACTCACCCACTCACTCACCCTACCCACTCACTCACTGATCCACTCACTCACTCACTCACCCACCCCACCCACTCACTCACCCACCCACTCACTCACCCACCCACTCACTCACCCACTCACTCACCCACTCACTCACCCACTCACTCACGCACCCACTCACTCACTGACCCACCCCACCCACTCACCCATTCTCTCACTCACCCACTCACTCACCCACTCACTCACCCACTCACTCACCCACTCACCCACTCACCCACTCACTCACTCACCCACTCACTCACTCACCCACTCACTCACCCACTCACTCACTCACCCACTCACTCTCTCAATCACCCACTCACACACTCATTCACACACTCACAGTGCCCTAACCAATGCACCACCACTCCCGGCCGTCTTTGTCTCCCCAGTGGCGACGTCTACTCTAGCGTCACCAGGTTCACTCGTTTAAGGCCGATTGTACCTAGGGAAGTCCCGTGACCAGGCCGCGACTTTTAACACTCCCGTCGCCTGAGCCAATGACCACACACACCAGGAATCATCACCTGCCTCGCCTGGCCCTGAGGGGGAGGGGGGAGGGGGGAGGGGGGGGAGGGGGAGATGGGGGAAAGATGGGGGAGAGGTGGGGGGGGGGGAGATGGGAGAGAGACTGGGGAGAGAGAAGGAGGGAGATGGGGGAGAGAGGGGGGAGAGATGGGGGGAGAGATGGGGGGGAGAGATGGGGGAGAGATGGGGGGAGAGATGGGGGGGAGATGGGGGAGAGATGGGGGAGAGATGGGGGAGAGATGGGGGAGAGATGGGGGAGAGATGGGGGGGAGAGATGGGGGAGAGATGGGGGGGAGATGGGGGGGAGAGGGGGGAGAGAGGGGGGAGAGAGGGGGGAGAGAGGGGGGAGAGATGGGGGAGAGATGGGGGGGAGAGATGGGGGAGAGATGGGGGAGAGAGATGGGGAGGGAGATGGGGGAGAGAGGGGGGAGAGAGGGGGGAGAGATGGGGGAGAGAGATGGGGGAGAGATGGGGGAGAGATGGGGGAGAGAGATGGAGAGAGATGGGGGAGAGGTGGGGGGGGAGATGGGGGGGAGAGGGGGGAGAGAGGGGGGAGAGATGGGGGAGAGATGGGGGAGAGATGGGGGGGAGAGATGGGGGAGAGATGGGGGGGAGAGATGGGGGGGAGATGGGGGAGAGATGGGGGAGAGATGGGGGAGAGATGGGGGAGAGATGGGGGAGAGATGGGGGGGAGAGGGGGGAGAGAGGGGGGAGAGAGGGGGGAGAGATGGGGGAGAGATGGGGGGGAGAGATGGGGGAGAGATGGGGGAGAGAGATGGGGGAGGGAGATGGGGGAGAGAGGGGGGAGAGAGGGGGGAGAGATGGGGGAGAGAGATGGGGGAGAGATGGGGGAGAGAGATGGGGGAGAGAGATGGAGAGAGATGGGGGAGAGGTGGGGGGGGAGATGGGGGGGAGAGGGGGGAGAGATGGGGGAGAGATGGGGGAGAGATGGGGGGGAGAGATGGGGGAGAGATGGGGGAGAGAGATGGGGGAGGGAGATGGGGGAGAGAGGGGGGAGAGAGGGGGGAGAGATGGGGGAGAGAGATGGAGAGAGATGGGGGAGAGATGGGGGAGAGAGATGGAGAGAGATGGGGGAGAGGTGGGGGGGGAGATGGGGGAGAGAGATGGGGAGAGATGGGGGGGGAGATGGGGGAGAGAGATGGGGGAGAGAGGGGGGAGAGATGGGGGAGAGATGGGGGGGAGAGATGGGGGAGAGAGGGGGGAGAGATGGGGGAGAGAGAGGGGGGAGAGATGGGGGGGAGAGATGTGGGAGAGATGGGGGAGAGAGATGGAGAGAGATGGGGGAGAGATGGGGGAGAGATGGGAGGGAGAGATGGGGGAGAGATGGGGGAGAGATGGGGGAGAGAGATGGGGGAGAGAGATGGGGGAGAGAGATGGGGGCGAGAGATGGGGGAGAGAGATGGGGAGAGATGGGGGCGAGAGATGGGGGAGAGATGGGGGAGAGATGGGGGCGAGATGGGGAGGAGAGATGGGGGGAGAGATGGGGGGGGGGAGAGATGGGGGAGAGATGGGGGAGAGATGGTAGTGAGAGATGGGGGAGAGATGGGGGAGAGATGGGGGAAAGATGGGGGAGAGAGATGGGGAGAGATGGGGGGAGAGAGGGGAGAGAGATGGGGGGGAGAGAGATGGGGGAGGGATGGGGAGAGATGGGGGAGAGATGGGGGAGAGATGGGGGGGGGAGAGAGATGGGGGAGAGATGGGGGAGAGAGATGGGGAGAGATGGGGGGGGGAGAGAGATGGGGGAGAGATGGGGGAGAGAGATGGGGAGAGATGGTGGAGGGATGGGGGAGAGATGGGGGAGAGAGATGGGGGAGAGAGGGGGGAGAGATGGGGGAGAGATGGGGGAGAGATGGGGGGGAGAGATGGGGGAGAGATGGGGGAGAGATGGGGGAGAGAGATGGAGAGAGATGGGGGAGAGATGGGGGAGAGATGGGAGGGAGAGATGGGGGAGAGATGGGGGAGAGATGGGGGAGAGATGGGAGGGAGAGATGGGGGAGAGATGGGGGAGAGATGGGGGAGAGAGATGGGGGAGAGAGATGGGGAGAGATGGGGGCGAGAGATGGGGGAGAGAGGGGGGAGAGATGGGGGAGAGAGATGGGGGAGAGATGGGGGAGAGATGGGGGCGAGATGGGGAGGAGAGATGGGGGGAGAGATGGGGGGGGAGAGATGGGGGAGAGATGGGGGAGAGATGGTAGTGAGAGATGGGGGAGAGATGGGGGAGAGATGGGGGAAAGATGGGGGAGAGAGATG